AGCCTTGTCGTTTGTTTATCGTCGTATTTTTGCTTCGCAGTTGCTTAAGCTTTCGTAAAATCAATCACGAGTTATCATCATTAACACAGCTCGCTTGAAATCACATTGTTTGCTTTCCGCTGACTTAAAATACCAGCTATGACCAAACTCCCCGCGCTTTGGCGAACTTCGTTGGTTGAAAACAGTTTTCCTGACCAAGTCACGCGAAATTTTTGTCTACATTTCCTGTTTATCATCACGGGTTTATTACGAATCAACTTAATGGCCTGCTCCCAGTTGGTTTGTTAGTTCAATTGGTAGAGCGCTGCACTAGTATCGCAGAGGTCAGTGGTTCGAATCCCGTAGAGGCTTGATTTTTTTCAGGTCTGATTTTCGCTATTGCATAAATAGCGCTCTCTGCTGCGAGGATCGTGCATCATACGGCGTATTTCCTGTTTATATAACACTTCACTTCCTTTTAGCGTTCAAATTTCCGATTCCAAGCTTGATTTTGAATGGGCACAGGTACGATAGTTCCCCAGCCCTTAACAAAGAATAAGCTCGATTATTGAAGTTTGGGTTATGTTACATCCCAGTTTTCGTGTCTACCAAGTCATGACAGCTATATAACAGTTGGCACATGCAGTCATAGACCGCCCTTTAGTTTTTAGCGTTACTAAATAGAAGTAACCATTCACTTTATGGTCTCCTTCGCAGCCGTTGTTTGGACTCGTCACGCAACGCTCCCTCCCCCACATTATCATAACTTATTAACTCTTCACATACACATTACACCTACAAATTTTTACAGGCTAAGAGATTAAAGAATACTTACTTAGGATGAACGTTAAAACAGTAAAAGACCGGGCCTCGCCTAGTTCAGCTTCTTTCATTTATTCAACCATTTACCTTATGTTTGTGTATTTATAAAACTGGGGGTGTGTTTCTTTCATTTTGCACGTGTAAATATAGTTCCTGGCGATAGTTAATAGATGGTAAAACGATAAGTCGTTTGAGTCGCTAACTATTTCGAGGACTATAGTTTCAGTGGGGGGAGGGGAATTTTTCCATATTTGAAAGATTTTGCTTTAACCAGTGAGACCATTTTATGATCTCTTTTCTGCACAAAATTATCTCTCCGCTGCATTGTGTTACCTGAAAACTGGCCACATATCAACTTGCCAATCAGACTGAAGAAACATTTTTATGCATATTGTCTTAAATGGATAGAGCGCTGGACTGTTGTGCGGGAGGTCGAGGGTTCGAGCCCCGGCCGGACCAACACTCAGGGTCTGAAATGATTGAGGAGAATTTGCTACCTTTCTATAACATCAAGAAATGGTTAGATATTCTAGTCTTCTCGGATAGGGACGAATAAATTTCTCCTACATTTATCCTCTCCTAACGTTTATCCTCCTACATTTATCCTCTCCTAACGTCTCCTACCCCTAACCTGCAGGGTTAGGGGTAGGAGACGTTAATTTCCCACACACGAGATTACTGTGTGATGGATGTCCTCCCCTGGGGTGGGATGGGTGGGAAGGTGGACTAGCACGAATGGTTCCTATGTTCCTTTCTAGTCCGACCCCACTGCAAAACTTAATGCAGTGAAAATGGACTAAATTAAATTAAA